CTTCTGCTCAAGAAGCCACGCACCACCATGCTGTGTTCACGAGGAGGAAGGGGCACCTTCTCTTCTCCCAAAGACACCATCTGCTCCTCACCATGTGCTCCTGGAGCACAGCATGTACCCCAACCCTACTTATAATTCACTCAACCTGCTCACAGCGAGGGCTGCGGACCACGGCATGGGCAGCACCCGGGAGTCAGTTAGAAACGCAGCATCTCAGGCCCCACCCCAGGCCTAGCGAGGCAGAATCTGCACTGTAACAAGGTCCCAGGTGGTTAATGTGCACAGTAGAGTTTGACAAGGCCTCACATGTTCCCCTAGTTGCCCAGATGTTCAAATCCTCAAATTCTTCTTCTTCTTTTTTAAAATATATTTTATTGATTTTTTACAGAGAGGAAAGGAGAAGGATAGAGAGTTAGAAACACCGATGAGAGAGAAACATCGATCAGCTGCCTCCTGCACACCCCCAACTGGGGATATGTCTGCAACCAAGGTACATGCCCTTGATTGGAATCGAACCTGGGACCCTTGAGTCGGCAGGCCGATGCTCTATCCACTGAGCCAAACAGGTTAGGGCCAAATCCTCAAATTCTTCTAAGGCTCCCCTAGTCTTCTGTTGTTCATCAGTGAAGACACTTTGCATGTCATGCCTGCCCTGGTGCAACGGCTTCCTGATCGATTTCACTAGTTTGTCTCTGAGCACCCCCCACTTTAGCCTTTCATCATGCCCCGATGCCCCTCTCTTTCTCCAGAGCCTTCCCAGCATCACACTGCCTGCAGGATGTTTACCTGGGCGGGAACCTTTAGACCAAACTTCAAAAGCTTTGTCCTGCCCCACATCCCTGCATGCTCACCACCAATTCATGTTCCCCCTCCTCGCACCCAGGGTCCCCCCTACGTGAATCCTCTGCCCGTCAGGCAGGCCTCATTCTCAAGAAGCCTAAAGCCTGGGCATAAAATGACACTTAATGTAGCTTCCAATATGGTGTTTATAGCCTAGTGATGAAAAGACACTGACCACACCTTATGATCTGGTGTAAGACACACAAAAGGAGGCATACAGACCAAGGGCTGGGGGAACACAGAGGAGGGGCCACCGAGTACTCGGGGAAAGGCTACAAGGAAGGTGTAAGCGTGAGCAGAACCCTAAAAGCTGAGTAGAAGCTTGTCCAGTAGACATGGTGGAGAGGGCAGGAGTGTGAAAGAACATGGATGCTCCAGGACCTGTAAGGAACCTGAAAGGGCCTGGACAGGGAGGGGGAGGCATGAAGCTGGACAGTCTATAAGCCAGGCAAGGGATTTAACTCCTGGAGATGATGGGGCTCCCAAAGGGCTTTCGGGAGGGAGTTCATGACCTCGCTTTCTCCATCTATTTAAGTCCTGCCCGTATCTGGAGACTCTAGGAAGCCTCCCTGACTGCCCCACCGCGATGCTCCCTTTCTGTGCTCCTCACAACGCCTTTCCACGTGCCACTCTTCAAACCCTGACTTGGTAGGACGCTTGTCAACATCTATGTGCGAGTATCTTGACTCCTCTACTAAATTTTGAGTCCTTTGGGATTAGGGTTGTGTTTTATATTGCTTTGTATCTCCCTGCAGCATTATACACAGTGCCTGGCACCAGCAACTCATCTGGTATAGTATTTCTGGCAGTTATGACTCTGAGCCACCACCAGGGGGCAGCAAGTTGCATCTCTCAGTTCACATCCTACATACAGATGTGGTTCAAGACCAGTATAACTTTGTCCAGGCACATGGTGGTCCATGCTTCAAGGGTTCACTGGACATTTGATGTGGGATGCAGCTCATCCTCAATCCTCCTAGGGAGGATTTATGTACCTTCACATGTCACTTACCACCAAGGGCCGCTTAAGAGACACAGGCCTGTGGAGTGAACTGAAGTTGGGGGAGGCAGCAGAGACCCACTCTGCTGAAAGTTCTGGCCTAGTCCCCTGGGGTGTGCCCAGCCTGTTAGGAGACAGGGGACTGTGATGCCTTATGAGAACAGTGCCCTCCCTCCTGCCCTCCAGCCTGGCCTCCCTTCTTTCAGTACCTTGAAGGCTGTAGAGCAGAAATGGTTGGGGGAGAAGATGGCAATGAAAGCAACCATGGGTGTGAAGGCCCATTCAAGACCCAATTTTACCACTTACCAGCCACCCGAGCCTGGAAACTGACCACCTTTCTCATTTGTAAAAGGGCAATTAACCAAAAACTCAGTTTACAGGTTGATTCTGAGCAAAAAGTAAGATTCATGTTTGCGAGGGCCCCTTGTAAACTAAAAGTTTTAGTTGTGGGGGAAAGGAAGACCTAGACATTTTGTGGCTGCTTAAGTCTGGCCTTACAATCATAAACCAAGAAGGCATGCAGTGAGCTAGAGAGGCCCCAGTCGGTTTCCCTGAGGGCCCCGAGCTAATGGCACAATTTAGCATTTAAATTTCCACATCCAGTGGCTCTCTATTACTTCAGATGGGCTGGTTTTCTCTTTGTAACTATATGCAAATGAAAACAATAACTCAGTACATCTAAATAGCACTCTACAGTTTACAACATGCTTTCATCTGTATCCTCTCCTATGATGGGCAGGCTCTCAGGCCCCAAATGAGCCCAGTGTCCTGTGTACTCCTCTGCCCATCAGGCTAGGTGTGACCTGTGACCTCTTCCACCCAACACAATACAGTAAGGTGATGGATGTCACTTCTGTGAATAGATTATGTAAGATTCTGGCTTCCCCTTCTTGCTGGTCAACTTTCTCCCTTGCTGGTTTTGACACAGTAAGTTGCCAGGTTGAGGAGGCCCATGTAACAAGGAACTGAAGATTCTTCTGTCCTTCAGTCCACGGGACAGAAGGAATGGAGGCCCTCAAGCCAATGGGCCAAGAGGAACTGAATAATCACATAAGTCAGAGTGGAAGTGGATCCTCCCCCAGTTGAGCTTTCAAATGAAAATGCAACCCCTGTGGACACCTTGAATGCAACCTCATTTCAGACCCTGAAGCAGTGGACCAGCGAGCCACGCCTGGAGTCCTGTCCCACAGGAACTATGAGATCATCGATGTGTGTTGTTTTAAGCTGCTCAGTTTGTGGTAGTCTGTTAGGTAGCAAAAGAGACCTAACACCTCTTTTGGACCGTACAAAAACTCCACACATGAGGGGAACCCAGGCCATCACATGACTTGCCCGGTCATACGACAGCAAGCGTCTCAGTTAGGACCCAAGGATCCCTGCTGTGGAGTTTCCTTCATACCAGCCTCCTCCCGAGGACAGGAGAAAGAGGTCCCCTGTTTCCTCCCAGGGCCTCACAGATCTGGACAGAATGGATTTAGTGGGGGCCAACTCAGGGGCTGAGGGCAGCCAAAAAGGACAAACCTGTTGCCAACTAAATACCCCAAGGCTGCCCTCTGTGACCAGGACTCACTGGAGCTCCCTCCCCACCTACACTCCGCACCTTGTTTTTTGGGGTAGAGGGTTGGCCTGAGCCTCACACTTACCTGAAACACCTGGGGCAGCGATGACTCCGTCAAACAGGCTGAGCCTGAGCAGACAGTGGCTGGGGCTGCGTCATGGCCAAAGGCATCAGTCCCTGTTGGAGAAGAGAGGGGGAGGTCAGTGAGAGCTGGAGGGGAGGCCGAGAGGATAGACAGGCTCACTCTGGCACCAGGTTGTGACCCCAAGACTCTGGAGTGGAGGTCCCCCAAAGGGCTTCCTTCTTGACCTCTGCAGCTGCCTTGGTTTCTGAGGTCCTGGCCTAAGAACCCAAGGCCACGTTCTCTCTCAGCGCCACTGTCCAGAACCCTCTGCCCAGAGCAGCAGCACGGTGCTGGGCAGGGGTCCCTGCCTGTTCTTGGAAGTGAGGCTCCGTGGGTGAAGAGTTCTGCCTCATGCTTCCCTGGAGAATTCTGACCTGTCTGCTGGTGCGATGTCCCTGTTGCCTGCATGGATGATACCTTTCTCAATGGCCCTGCACCCCTCTTTCCCATTCTCTCCTTCATTCTCCTCTGGGCCTGTCCACATTCCCGTAAGCTGCACACGCCTTTCCCTTTCTGTGATATCCCGGCACCCCTCAGGCCAGCATAGCCACTGGACCATTGGATGAACAAGTCTGACAACATGACAAGATCATTATGTGACAACAAGATCATCATCCTGACGTGCTCACGGAGGATGGAGGAAGCAGGATCCAACGGAAACATTTAGAAACCCAGTGTAGACTAATTAGTGGGGGTTCCTTCAAACCAAAAATTTTAAAATATCCTCTCCACATTATTTAGTGGAGTATGAGCCTTACACTGGGAATGGGGTGCGGGAGAAGAAGGACACTCTGGTGGTGATGCCCCATCCTGCTCACCGATCTAAGCAGGGCAGGTCCCACTGCGTGTGTGTTTGATTGGGGAAGGAACCCAACCATTAACAGGATTGGCAAAGCCGCCTTCTTTGGGGACAGAGCAGGGCAGGAGCAGGGCTCCAGGAGAACACAGATGGTTACCTACAGAGTTGCCCCATCCCTGCCTTCACCTCCCTTCTAGATCTAGGCTTTAATACCATCACCAGCCCCTGCCTTGGGTGTACAAGAACTCAGGTTTTCTTTTCTCAAAGATGTTCTCACCCTCATTAAAATGGAAGCCA